AAAATACTCAAAAATACTGTCAAGCAAAGCATCAGCGTAGTTTCGAAATGAAAAGCATTAATTTAGCAGCGCATCATCATCATCATCATCATCATAGCATACAGGGATTTTTATATCAAAGGTTCGACATGTCTTTAACTAGAGGATTTTCTTAGGAGGATTTTTAAAAAATAAAACACAAGCGCAATTTTTGTTTGTTTGGTTTTTTAGTTTTTTTTTTTTTTGTTTTTCTTTTTTTTATAGAGAGGGTAGTTTTCTCCGCTAAGGATTTTCAAAGTTTACTTTTTATTTAGAGAAGTTCCTTTAATGATAATCATACTTATGCTTTGTATTTCGGTTTTTGGTTTGTTTGTTGTTTGCCTTTGTTGTTGTTTTTTCTTTTGTTAATAAATAGTTGTTGTTTAACAGCTAAATACATGTTTTTTTCTTTTAATATTTGAATGTGGTAATTGTATTTCATCTTGTTTCTGTATTTCTGTTATTTCTGGTAATGTTTTTGACGTTTGTTTGGTGTAGTTTTTGTTGGTTTTTTTGCTGCGTTAAAATTCACTTACTAGCTAGGTATTTTTTATATACTTTTTTTTTATAATTAATTTATATTTTTGTTTTTTCTTTTTCGTATTTTATATTTGCTCTAAATTATAATTGTTTTGTTGTTTGGTTTCTGGTTTAGCCAGGGCTGTTGTGCGGCACCGTGTTGTTTGTTTTGTCCTTCGAGTTCGCATTTCGACAAGTTTAAGAATCAATCATATTTTCTCTAAAATTAGGCTTACGTAATCTATATGTCCATATATCTTAATAGTTACGTGACTTAATACCCTAAATTGTAACAATAATTTTATGTATTTTATTTTTTAAATTTTTTTGTTTTTTTGTTTTTTTTTTTTAACTTTTACACACATTTAAGCAATACATTGAATTTGTTTGTTTGTCTGGTAATATTTCGTTATATAATTGTGGTAATGCCCATATAGTAAATATGTTCTTATATTGATTTTTAAACGTTTCATTGGAATGAACTTTAACACCAACTTACGTGCTAGAGAATTGATTTCTATGCAAGTATTGAATATTTTGTAATCATAGTAATCATAATCATAATAATAATATTCATATATTGTTTTCGCTTTGACTCTGGCGCACCAAATGTTTTTGGCACATGCTGTGTGTGTGTTGTTTACCAACACTGCCAACGGGTTTCACTTAGCAGCTAGATTAATTGAGTTTTGTTGTATTTTCTGTCTTGTTATATAACATGCACATTTCTTCATCAAGTCATGAGTAGTTATGTAATGCTATTAACTGTTGTTGAAATATCTGAATAAATATATACGTTAATATATGTTTATATTTGTGTATATTAAATATATGCTTGTTAATTGTAACACTCATAAATTGTATATATTTTATATATATATTGTTAGAACTTGAGAAAAATCACTAAAATGTATATTCCATATATAGATTATATTATTTATTTAACTTTCCATTAACTGTTCACATCTCATATGACCCTCAACATTAAATTTTTCTGGCTTGAAGTTTTGCTAATGAAAAAACGATTAACACATTTATCGATTAATAATTATTCGTCAATTGTAATTGTGGTTTTTTGGGGCGTGTACTTTGAGCAAACCTTATGCCACAGCTGGAGTCTGGCCAACGGTATCGAATGTATGACGATTGCATTGGGAAACTTCTCAATAATTGCAATTGTAAGAAACTTCTCTCGCCTCTCGGCGTACGCCAGTCTCGCTCAATTTTCGTGGCACCCTCGCACCCGTTTCGCCGGGACTCCATGCCCGGCTACTCGGCGTACTTAATGCGCTCTTGAGCGCCGATCTGGCAACGCCGAGCTCGTAGAAACCATCGGGAAAATACTCTTCTGGGGAATCCGTTTGTCCAGGCTCGCGCTGTGGCACAATTGAAGTGCTTAAAGCAATAGACACCTATGCTTAGACTAAGACATTTATATAATTTAGCTTGAACTTTTTGCTTTGATTTCCATGGTTGCCCAGGCACGGAACGCTTGGAATTCGTCACACGACGCTGTCTGGCAACGCTGCGTGTGCCAAATTACCAAAAAGCATTTTCATGCCTGCGAGCCTAGGCAAAGGAACGGTTCTGTGTTCGCTTTGCTTCAGCTCTACTCTTTTGATCATACTGTTCCATAGTTTCTCTAGCGAAACGTTTCGATTTTCAATTCGTAACTTTATGTAATTGTTGTTGTTGTTTTTGTTTTGTTTTTCATTTATGTAACCACCAATACCCTAATTAGTTTATGTGTTTTGTAGCTGTCTGCTACGGTTTGTGCTGTTCCATTTCATGCATTTCAATGCCAAAATGGTTCTGGTATGTGGTTGTGTGTGAATTCCCTAGATCTTGTTAATAATATATATGTATTACGTTGCATTACGTTTATTCAACTTTGTTGCTTACTGCTACGTTGTTTTTGGTTGTTTGTCTTTGTGTTATCGGTTCTATCGGTTATCGGGTTGCATAACCTAGCTCCATTCCGCTGTTCCGTTTTCTAGCGTTCCTTGTTCAGGCAGGCCATTGCTTAATTTACTGTTTCGTAGTACCTCAGCTACTCTTTCTACGTTTCTGCTTTACTCAAATAACTCTTGTTGTAGTTCTGCTGCGCTTATTATTAACTTTTGTAAAGTTTATATTATTATTTTTTGTTTTCTTTGTTTTTCATGCCCCTGGGCTTAGTTGTTGTTTTGCGCGACTTATTTTTAATTAAATGTACGCTCTTCTCTCCTCAATTTTCTACTTTTGTTTGTTGCATCTTAGAGTCAAATGTGCTTTGCAGTCGCTACATTAACTGTTAGATATTTAGTTCTTTAGCAAGAGTTTTTGTTCTTGTTCTTGCCTCTTTTTTGTGTATTTACTTTTTGTTTTGGTAACCTCATTTCTTGTACGAGTGTAGTATTCTGTGTAGTGTAGTGTAAACGTGTCTTTTGTTGTTGTCTTTTAACCTTCTGCTAAAAATGATAGCACTAATTAATGTTTAATCGAAATCATAGGCAAAAACTTAGCATTTTATTAAACGTAAACCCATTTCAAGAACTTTTCATATACATATATATGTATATATATGCATATATATATATATATATCTAGATACTTGTTTCAAACAGTTGAACAGCACTTTAGTTTCAGCGTCGTTTTTATATATTGTTCATTCGGAAAATCAATCGTATATATGTATGTATACATCGTATATATAAGCTGACTTCGCTGACGATTTTCTCGATTGTTTCTCTAAAGTATTTGATTTCGCTTTTCTCTAAGTGGGTTTTCAACTATGTATTTATCGCACTACGATTAATCGTTATCAATTGTGTGTGTGTGTGGGTGTGTATGTGTGTTTTGTCAGTGTATTCCTGTGGTCTGCGTATATAATAATATCTGACTAGTTAATGTTAAACATAGCATTAGAACTAAATAAATATTATCATCGAGTAACTACAGCGTCTGCCTTTCGTTTAAATAGTTTGTTTCGTTTGCCTAAACATATACTATGTTAATATATATGTATATATTGTATATCAAATCATATTCGTATTCCATATAAGTATCATATTGTATAATATATAAGTTATATGCTTAATAGAAAAACATGCGTAAAATTGTCTATCGGTTTGCGTTTGCCTTTGCATTTGCTAAAAAATAATTTAAACAGAAAGTTCTACACAAAATACTTTGGTTTTGTTTCGTTTCACTAAGTACATAAAATATTGATGTAAAATGCATTACTAGATCGGAACTAAGTGGCTTTTTCGTAGGACCACCCGATAAGTAGTATGTTGTTTTAGTTTTGTTTTTCATTTTTCATTTCTCGTCTTTCGTTTTTCATTCGTTTTAGCAGCTTGTCAAAAACTTATCTCAAAATCGTTTATAAATATTCGGGTTTGGCAAACTTTCAAGTGCGACACGGGGCTGCAACGTTGGGAATGAAGCAGCAAGATCAATTGTTTCATACCCACATTCCAGCCCGTGACGCTTTTCGTATTTAGCAGCCTGGGTTCAAGTTAAAAACTTATTACAAAACATGTTCGTTTCGTATGGGCCAGCCCAAGAGTTGCACTCGCCGAGGAACGTTGGGAATGAAACAGCAAGATCAATTGTTTCATGCCCACATTCTGTAGCTGATTGCTTGCGCCAGCCCAACGACAAAGCCCAGTAAAGTTTATAAAGTTCGCTGCGCACAACAAAAATAGCTGGGATTCGGAATTTACTGAGGCTTTTCGGATTAAATAAAATACGTTAAAATATTAGCATCTAGGGTTACCAAAAAACTTGTTGCTCTAACAGTTTGGTGTCAGTTTCGTCTACATAGAGTATGATGTGGGTGGGTTACAGTTATCGAGGCTTAACATGTAGAAGAGCTTTACTCAGTTTCTGGCATACGATATGATCGGTTAGCGCTGTCAACTAGTGTGTGGGACTGAGATGATCTATGGCGATGACGATGACGATGATGTGATGATGCAGTCAACAAATAATAATACAAATGGATGTGGTTATGCATGCTTCAACTGAAAGATCTAAGAACAACTACAGACGATAGCTAGAGATGAACGAACAGCGAGCAACGAGTAGATAAACGTCGAGAGCGAGCGATGCGAAGCGATGCGATGCGATACGATGCATTAGAGACAGACAGAGCGAAATAAGAGAGAGAGAGATAGATAGAAAGAAGAGAGAGAGCGAGATAGAAAGATAGTAACAGAGTCGACAACGATGAAGGCGCATACGATAGACATTGAGTTGAATAGTACTCAATCATGTTGTTGTTGTTGTTGTTGTTACTATTGCTGTTGTTGTTGTTGGTTTCTGGTTGTTTGTTCGAGTATGCAGCATATTGAGATTATATATTCATATATTTATTTAAGATTGAGTTTGAATGTGTGGAATAATTATGAACTTAAGCATAGATTCTGACGGCATACCAAATTAACAAGCTGCCCCGCACTCCATAGCTACTGCACCTCCCCTTCAGTCCACATAGCTGCAGCCGCAGCTCCAGTTGACCCCATCCTCGTTCAGTGCCAGCGCCGGCGTTGCATCAGTATCTGCTCGTGGACAATCTGCCAGAACTTGGCGTGCAGCCAGACGAGCAGCACCACCAGCTGCATGAGCAGCGGCCACTGTTGCAGTTCGTGACGTGTGCGACGCTTCAGCTGCTGCAGCCGCGACTTGGGGCCGCCCAGGAGGCAGGCGTGGGCGGCGGCTGCGGGCGGCGGGGCATAGCTTAGATTGTAATTGTAATAATAGTAATAGTTGTTGTTGTAATGCTGCAGCTCTACCGGTTCTAGATCTAGGGAATTGCCAACTTGGCCGCTACATCGATTGCTCGCTAAATAGTTATCATCGTTATTGATTTTGTTTTCATATTGATTTACTGTTGCTGTTGTTGTTGCTGCTGTTGCTGTTGTTGTTGCTGAATTGGTTTTAATGCTGTTGTTGTTGTTGTTGTTGCTGGTTGGATGTTCATCATTACGGTATTTCTGTGGTTTGCGATAATATTACATGATGATACACTTGCCCTTTTCAGCCCACGGATTGTTCTTCTTATCGGGCGCATTAATCAATGGATCATTCTTTTCATTCTCCTCAATAAAGGAGCGCATTCTGCAAGCAAATGAATGGAAATTGAAATTTTCAATTAGTTGGCGAAACGAAAGTCGTATTTTATGATGGGAAACATAATGCATATTTTATATTAATTCAAGTATTTGAAATCAACTGTGCTGTTAAATGTTAGGGAGATTACATTTTTAATATATCTTGCGACTAAGAATTAAATAAATTGAGTTTTTGATTTGAATTAAAATATAAGTATATGTATTAATATTAATAAATATATATATTACTAATTAGTTACTAAAATTATTATAATTATCATTTTAATTTTTGTGGTATTATTTTTATTATTAAATTGTATTATTATTATTATTATTTATTTTTTATTAATCTTATTAATTTTGTTTTTTAATGTATTTTAATTTATATTTATATTTATGTATATAACTTACCCCTAATTAATTTTTTTTTATTAATATTCTTATGTTTTATTTCAGAAATATTGACACTCGTACGTCAAAGCTCGATCTTCAAAATATATTACTATTAAGGGATTATTGAATCTACCAACTGAGTTCATTTCGATTCATGTATACAAAATATAATATATAGTATGTTTATATACATTATTGGTTTATATTTATAAGCATTCATTTTGTGAGCGACAAACCCACAATTTTTAAATCACCTTCAGCTGCAAAAGTAAGTAAATAAAAATGCCCCAAGTATTAACCAATTGTTTATAAAATATTCTTAATACTTTTTACACTCATATTTCAGATGTGAAAATTAAACCACACATTAAAGGCACAGATGGAGCTAAAGTAAGTCTTCTAAATTTTACTTAAAATTTGGTTTTAATATATCTATAATAAAATCTAATTTTATACATATATTATATATATACATATATATTCTGCACATTTGCTCAACTTGAGCATAAAGATTGAATCTGCCAAGGCGTATTCCGCTCTGCCCCCCTTTTAAAGTCCTTTGTGCGCATAGACAATAAACTTCCATTCACTTTCGCCTAACAATGTGAGTTTTTATGGTACTCGTTCAATAGAATGAGAATTTTACTTCACATAGTTGCATAACTTCATATTCCATAACTACTTGTACACCTCGCTTAATCCTAGCTAAATTCTGTTCGTTGAGTATCATAAAAGATGTAAGCTGTGTCCGCTCCCCCAACTACCAACCAACCCCCTAACCCCCCCGTCTGATATAGAACAGGAATCAAGCCATTTCAAGAATTGCATAATGCCAGCGTGCTTAAAGCTAAGCAGACATAAAATGCGGCACGCTTCAATGGCAGAGGGTCGCCACGGACGCCACGGTCCGGGTGCGAATTGTCCGGTCCGGCTCGCAATAAACAAGGCGATGCCAAGTGGTGTGAATCGGGCGGAGAGTGGGAGGGGAGTGGCGGAGAGTGTGACGACGGCTTTTATGCTAATCTGCACGCAGATGGACATTAAAAATGTTCAGCGTGCAAACGTAAAGTGTAAAAGACATCGGATATACCCTACTCACGGTTTGTCTGCATATAAGACTGCTTCTTCTTCTTCTTATTGTTGTTGTTGTAATACACTTATCCTTTAGCACCATAAAAATGGCTGCCCTGTCGTTTGCATTTGTCTTTGCTCTCATTCGTTCTGTCGTTCCGTCTGTCCATCTGTCTTTTAGCTTGTCTGCCTGTTCGCCTGTCTGGCCATTTATTTTCCTTATTTTCGCTCAAGACCGAAATTCGTGCACTTTTGCTTGCCACGTTTTCATTTGCTTTTCTGCGCTCGTTTTATTTTTTATATTTTTTCGCTGGAGAAATTCGCAAGAATTTATTTATTGAGCGGTGCGCGGGATGGGCGAGGGGCCGAAGGAATGACACAGTGCGCAGATAAAAGTATTCGCACAGACAGACTGCGTGGCACATGCTTTGCATTTCAATTTAGTGCGTGAATTGTTTACTTTGCATTTACCCTGACATCCACATTCATTTCGCTTTTCGTTTTGCTCATGGCTCACGCGTCGTATGCGTTTTATATTTACATATATATATATATTTTTTATGAAAAAAATAAAATAATATTTATTGGCAAACGATTTACGCATAACAAAATGGAATATATTTATAGTGCAGCTAAATCCGATTTAAAATAAAAAAAAGTAGTTTTAATGCTCTAATAGAAACGTAAATGCCATTATCTGCATCATTATATCATTTGGGTTTTGGCTTATGTGTAAAAAATAATATTTATTACCAAGCAATTAGCATTAAAAATAACATATATTTTGATTGCAGCTCAAATATAATTGCCATAACTATTTTAAGCAAAAAAAGGCGAATATTTAAATGCTGTAGAAAACTTTAAATATTGATATGACAATCAATTTAGCCTTGGCTCAAGCGGCGTATGCGTAATTTATTTTTTAGTGCCAAACAATTTATGTTATTAAATTATTTTCAAATTTAATTTCATAAAGAGAAATAAAGAAAAGAGAGAATACGTATATCTTGAAACAGAAAAAGTAATAATAGTATTAATTAAAATGTTATGATTGATTAAATAAAAGCGAAGAGTAAATAAAAAATAAATATGTTTTTTTACAGAAAAAAAAAATAGTAAATTAATCTTAAATCTTTTGTGGAAATAAATCATAATACATCAATTCAAAAATACAATATATATATATTTAAAAATTAATTTCAATATTTATTTATTAAATCTACATTGATTAGTCAAAGCATTAATGTTTGAATTAAATTTAAATGCAATATATTTCCTAAAAATTAATAAATTAAATTAAATTATTAAATGGTAAATTAATCTTAAATATTGTATAGAAAAAAATCACAATACATTAATTTATAAATAATTAAAAATAAAAGTTATATATATACCTCAAAAATTATTGATTTAGAAAATTAATCTTACTATTTATTTACTAAATCTACATTGATTGGTTGAAGCTTTAATGTTTTAATTAAATTTAAATGCAGTAACAGTTGCGCTGCATATTGTTTATTTATTGTTAATTGTCCCGTTTAGATTGAATCTGTTATTACTGGCAATTGTTTGGCTATTTGATTTGATTTGCCCAAATGACCGTATTTGTTATTGCTTCTCCGTTCGCTTCACTGGCACCTGTTTCTGCCTGCTGTCATTAAATGCGTCTGTCTGCCTGTTCGTCTTCTGTCCGTCTGTCTGTTTGTCACTTGGCCTCAAAATTGTGGTGTTGCTTCTATCTGTTTGGCATTTGCTGGTTGGCCTGTGAAGCATTTGCATTTATGTGGAATTTCCTTGGCACATGTTTTCCTCTTGCGCTCATTAGTTTTGTTTGCCTCCCATTAAAGATTTGCCCCAATAAAATTGTGGCACACGTGCCGGGCCGGGCCGAGTCGGGCCTTGCCGTGCCGTGCCGTACGCAATTCCATTTGCAGTTGGCAAACTATTGTGCCATTGGCTCGGGCAGGTGTGTAGGCGCAGGACACGCCCACTCATGTTGCCGCATTTATGCATAATTTAACTAACAAGACCTTGTCGACTTCGTTGTGCTAGTTTGTGTGTGTGTGTGTGTGAGCATCTCTCTCTCTCTCTCTCTCTCCTGTGTAGGCGTTTCTCTTTTCTTGCTCATTTTCCGCATCAGCAGAGCAAACGGGGCAACATCAGGTAAGGGACGAGAGGTGAGCAACTGTGGCACATTGAATAGGTTTAGCTAGATACATAAAACAATGCCCGGCGAGGCTAATGGGCTTATGACTCTGCGGTTTCTGGCTTGTGCAGCCGGGAAAAAAAACCTACAGGCGCTGCTGACGCCCCTTGCCACGCCCCCGCATGAAACATAACCAAAATCCACAAGCTGAATGAATGTGAAGGCAACAGCGAAAGTATCTTAGCCCCTAAACAAAAGGCCAAGGGTTCCATTTGATTTTTTTTTTTTTATTCGCCTTTCGCTTTTCGTTTTGGTTTCGCTTGGGTTACGGTTCGACAGTCAAGACTGTTGTGAGTGGGCGAAATGTGGGGATTGTTGGCCTAAAAAGGCAGTCAACAAAGTTGTTATGATGATGATTTTGTTGCTGTTGTCATTGTTGTTGTTGCTGTTGTTGTTGTTGCTCTGTTCTTTCTTCTATTCCTCTCGTTCGAGCGTAGGTAAAGTCTGGCCGCACGCTCTGTGACATTTCATTTTGTTGCGGGGCAACTCTGGGCAAACGCCGCTGCTTATCATGTATTTATAATGAGCGCATTAGCGAGAAATGTCCAGAAAAGGTTGCCCAACATCTTCTAAGTAACTTACAGAAAGAGAGAGAGAGAGAGAGAGAGAGAGAGAGAGAGAGAGAGTGTGGGTGAGTGGGAGAGCAAGACGACTTGCTTAAAGTGTTTGGCTGGTTGAGATTTACATTTGGCGCGACTCGTTTCGCTGTGCCACTTTGCTGTTATTGCCCCCGTTTTTGTTGGGGCCAGTCATTGTCTTTAAAATTTATAGCCTACTTTTCAGCGTTGGCTTAAAGAGTCAAGGTTGTCGCCTTAAGTGGCTTTTGGCCAATGTGCTGCTGTCAATGGCAGACTCGGCATTCAATGAACTCCCAAGGCCCCGAGGTTAAGTCTTCAGTCAGCCAGCCTCAACAATATCGAGTCAGCGAAGCTGACTACACCTCTGGCTTTAAAGTACAGGGTATTAATAGGTTTGCAAACTGGCTAATGATGATGTCATCGTCAGCTGTACGCTGTTATGTGCCTCGGCAAAGTTTACTCATAACTGTGAGACGCATTTAATAAGCGATGCCAAGAGGAAAATTGATGGAATACCAGAGAAACATAAAAAAGTTGCAGAACGTGTCGCAGCTGTAGCAAATTGCCCTAAGGCAGTCGAGGCTGCGCTGAGTTTTCCACAGTCTGTCCGCCTGTGCGTTCGTCTGTCTGTGGGTCGCTTGTCCATTCAGCCACATGCATTGAAAACTAATTCGAAAAGCTTTAATTAAATATGTGCACTCTTAGCCATTATTGGCCACATTGCTTTGGTGGCCTAATTAAAAGCACTTCCGCTGCGAG